GACTGTAAATTATCACTCACACTAAGTTTAATTTCCTTCAAACCGATACATTTATTGAAGAATGATTGTTGTTTTTCTTTAATTTGTAATGGATGCCTCGAGTTGTGCAGATATTTTTATTGTATAAGCTATCCCCAATAATAAAGTCATATAGGGGATTACCCCCGTGAAGCTTTGATTGTATTTATTTCTGTGGGTCATATCCACAGTGAAGTTATAATTGTGTAAGTTTCTGTAGGACATTTCCCCAATGAAGCTATAATTATATGAGTTTCTGTAACTCATTGAAGCTATAACTGTATTTGTTCTTATAGGAAATTACCCCAGTGAAGCTATAATTGTATATGGTCCTGTAGGACATTACCCCAGTGAAGCTGTTATTTTATTAGTTTCTGTAGAACATTATCCCAATGAAGCTATGATTGTACGTGTTTCTGTAGGACATTACCTCCAGTGAAACTTTATTTTCATTTGTTCCTGCACACATTTCCCCAGTGAAGCTATGACCTTATAAACCTATATAGGACATTTCCCTAGTGAAGCTATAATAGTTTAAGTTTCTGTAGGACATTATCTATTGAAGCTATAATTGTATTTGTTCCTGTAGAACTTTACCCCAGTGAAGGTATACTAATAATCGTATAAGTTTCTGTAGGACATTACCCCAAGTGAAGGTATAGTTGAATGTGTTCCTGTAGGACATTACCACCAGCCAGTGAAAGTATAATTGTATTTGTTTCTGTAGGACATTACCCCAGTGAAGCTATAATCGTATAAGTTTTTGGAGAACATTACCCCAGTGAAGGCAGAATAATATACTTATGTTTCTGTAGGACATTATATCCAGTGAAGCTTTAATTGTATTTATTATACTTTATGTCCAAATACTAGATTTTGACTGGTTAATACGAGGGAGACAATTTACTCTATCCCATGGCAAATACTCTATTACCCTTCACGAAGACGCTTGCTCAACTGTGCGCTTTACTAAATACGGATGATTGCTATGTACAAGACGTCATACTTTATTACTTTGAATTTGAAATTTAATAGAGAGTAATAACAGAACATTCAGTATAACAAATTAAATAACATATATCTGAGATGGTGATAGAGCAGATTGTTACCCCTCGAAAAGACAATGTCAACCTTGGCTTCGCCTCAGTTGACAATGTTTTCTCGGGGTAACAATCTGCTCTATCACCCTCTCAGCTATGTGTTATTTATATATTGTTCCTGTAGGACATTACCTCCAGTGAAGGTATAGTTGTATTTGTTCTTGTAAGATATTACCCCATTGAAGCTATAATCGTATAAGTTTTTGTATAACATTACCCAAGTGAAAGCAAACTCGTATCAGTTTCTGTAGGACATTACCTCCAGTAAAGGTATAATTGTATTTGTTTCTGTAGGAAATTACCCCAGCGAAGCTATATATAATCGTATAAGTTTCTGTCGAACATTACTCCAGTGAAGGCAGAATCGTATAAGTTTCTGTAGGACATTACCCCCAGTGAATGTTTAATTGTATTTGTTCCTGTAGGACATTACCTCCAGTGAAGGTATAGTTGTGTTTGTTCTTGTAAGACATTACCCCATTTAAGCTATAACTGTAAGTGTTCCTTTAGTGAATTAACCCATTACTCCAGTGAGGGTTTAGTTGTAATTGTTCCTGTTGGACATTACCTCCAATGAAGATATAGGCCTAATTGTATTTGTACCTTTATGACAGTACCCAAGTGAAGCAATTGTATTGACCTCTGTAAGAGAAAACCGCTGTGCAGCCGCTGTACGTCTGATTCCTTGCATTATCTAGTTACAAGAATTATTTGATTACAGGTCAGTACGTACAGTTGTATTTCGTTTTCTTTTGCTTTTTTACTTAATTCAAACTTGAGATAGTTTATGTTTTACAGATGTTTCTTTCGAGTTAGGTTTCATTTTCACGTGTAATCTCCGATCATCAATTAGATACATTAAAAGCTCGTTCAAACACAAGTTTTGGATACAATTTTTCCTAGACTTTGTGATTTTCTGTTGTGTTGGTTATAAATATAGTAACACAACACATTTCTACATGTTGGAGGGGGGGGGGGGGGGGGGATTAAAAGATATCTTAGGACAACGAATCGATCTGTTATCTGGATTATAAATTCGTTACTTGTCTCCTGTAGAAATCTCTGCCGTCATATAATTTCATTTTTTCTTATACATAGCTAATCAATAAAGGAGTCTCTAACTCTTTGTAACTTTGTATTATTAAGTTGACAATATTGACATCAGCGATTCATTACATCTAAATAGTAGCCTTTTTGATTGACAGGGTGTTAATTTTGACTTAAAATGGCTTAGCAATGCCATGCTTATATTCGTCGCATGTACATTTTGTGTCTACAGTACTCCATTACTAAATGAAATAATGCAGACAAATTCCGTGAAAGTGATCATTTTTGGTCGATGTTCCACACTACAAAGAGAGTAGTAGTATTATGATTTTTGTTTGTATGTATGAGATTTAATGAACGAGCTACTTTTAAATGGCATAGTAGGATACTTTTTATTCCCTTTTTTTAATTCAATTCAACGACTACCCTAGAGTAAAAATGAGAAACGCAAACATAACTTGCGGTCACTATGCATTATCGTTCATGGGGTCATTTATAGCTACTACAAGGTATGAGTTTTTGCTCATTGTTGAAGGCCTTTCGATGATCTGTAGTTGTTTACGACCTTGTTCTTTTGGTCTGGTTGCTATATACGTCTGTGGGTAGATAGTAAAAATAGCAATATATATACAGATTCTATAGTCTTTACTTCATTACTGATATTTTACAAAAGTATGATATTTATTTGCACAAAAATCCTCTTTGTTGTCACTAAAGTCTTTGCATGTGCAGCCATGAACCAAACAGTCAATATCGAGATTGAAAAGCGGAAGGTGTTAAGATATTAAAAACCTGAACTCACCCAAGTATCTTTGATAGTTTCTATTTAATTTATTCACAACATTTTTTTAGACAAGGAACGATTTAAAGCTTGAAATATTGCATAGTCGCCTCTCTGGTGTTAAAGACTGTATGTTGACCTCAAGATATTTTTCAGTTATTAAAATTGTTGGGTTGCTGTCTCATTGACGTTCAAACCACATCTCCTTGTATTAATAATTATGTCAAGTTCATTATGAGAAATTTCCTTTCCTACACCTTGATATGGTCTTACTTTGATTATTTAGCGAGAAAATTCATTAGAAAATTGATGTACTGATTTTTCAAAGATATTTCTTTTTGCTGCAAGTTGAGAAAAAAATAACCGGGATAAGATATACATTAACGGATTTTAGCTTCTAAAGGAAATAAAAGATAACTAGTTTGCATTATCTATGATTTATTGTATCTTAGCAACTTTTATATCAATGGCGTACATGATATACAAAGGCGTCGTCAGTCTCTCTGGACGAACAAACAGCCTTACAATTACTCGTTGTGAGGTACGTCCTATTGGTCATACAGAATGACTGGTTAAATCCACAGCCAAGTCCGGTTTGCTTGTGCGAGTACATAACCACGTTCATTTCGTTCTGCGAATACACAGTCTTTGTCGACCTGGACTGAGTAACTATTCTAAAAATTGTATACCTTTCTGCAAACTATTACATTTTTCTATATTTTTTTCTTAGATTTTTCACTTCGTACATATACGGATCCTTTGGGTGGCATATAATTATATGCAGGTAACAAAAAAATAAATTTTGTTTTGTTTCGTTCGTAAGTAATTTTTTGGTATGACAACATTTAAGACATTATTTATACAAGCCCCATAAACCTTTTAAGACGAAGAAAATATCAAAATCATATGAAGTCTTTTTTTCATTTATTCTCTTTTCTTTTCCTGTTCACTGTAAGGTTTTTTTTTTAAATGAACTTGCTTATCAATTTGAACATTTAAGATTTACTTTGAAAGGGCAATATTTTTTGTTTCCAGTTTTCTCATTGTACCACGCTTATGCTGTTACCAATAATTTGATCACGAGTTGCGCTTAAAAAGTTTTATATATCTTAAGCAAAGATGTTTTAGGAATGCAGATAGGTTAATTTGGTAACATGTATTCATATACACTGCTTCCTAAAGAATTTGTAACGTGTCTACGATATAGACGATCAGTAGGAAAGATAATAGTATTTAAAATTATACTAGTATTTCATTATGTCCTATATATTTTGTGAAATTCTATGGAAATAATGCTGATTAATAGTCAATGGTATAGTGATTTAAAATATTACTCAAAGAATCTAAGTATTAACATTTTTTCTAGTTTCTTTACATATTTTGGCAATGCGCTTGTAATGTGTATGCCATCACCGTGAATTAGTTTTGAAGATAGAACATTTGCACTTTTTTATAAAAAGGGGACACCCAACGATCAATCAAGCTAAAGTAAACCTACATAAAATGAGTTTTACAGAAGATCATCTTAATTCATGGTGGCATGCGTCCAATTATCACACAGTGATTAACTTTTGATATAAAACTAATTACTTAAGCAAGAAATGAAATATTCATCCCACTTTAATCTCTAACGAATCGAAAATCAAACTTACCAGTGAATTCGTGCACAATTGCGAAAACAGACAGCATATTACTAAAGCGGAAGTTGTCGCAGTTGGCTCTCTCGGCTCTTTCCTGTCAGATCATCTGATATAAATGTATGCTATCTGTATTGTTACATTGTAACCATTCAGACGCAGAACTATTGATAAATGTCATATTTATGCAAAATGCAAACGCAGATATACTTCAGACATTTAGGTTTTGAAAATTAATGTTTTTCTGTTAATAGAAAAGTTAGCTGTCTTACCACCAAGTCCGAAGCATTTATTTGGAGAAATCATTAATAGGATAACATGCTGCTGTTAACTATTCAATCGTTTGATAATCCATCATTATTTTCTTGTGACTGTGTCTTATCTTTTACTTGATTCGTGTAATATTTAATATTGCAGATCTAGTTAAAAAGAGTAATTTCTTAATCAGCGAAGATAGTGAAGATGTTTATTTGAAATGAAGGAAGATGTTATACAACGATGAACCAATACAGTTGCTTTTTATTTTTGTTACGTTTCTACATTTAACACTGGGAGGGTCAGTTTCGGACAATTGTGAACTTATCACAGTGAAGTTTTGTAAAAGTATGCCATATAACTACACAAAGCTACCAAACTCGCTTAACCATCGTAACCAGGACAGCATTGATAATCTATTATCACACTTTGATCCTTTGATACAGATTGAATGCAGTGAAAATCTACAAAAGTTTCTATGTTCCTTGTATGTTCCAATTTGCAACGATCTCGATAAATTTATATTGCCATGCAGGGATCTGTGTATGGATACTAAAACAAAGTGTGAAAAGCGTATGCTTTCATATGGATACAAGTGGCCAGAAAATCTGGAATGTAGCAAGTTTTCAGAAAAACCGATGGAAGAGGACATGGAAAATCTGTGTATACCATTGAAAGAATCTAATGACACCGGATTTGATTCCACTGACCTGTTATTCTCCTACAAAGATGTAGACTCTAAAGAAATTGTTGTAGGTGAGTTGTTTTACCCTAGATTCCACTGACCTGTTATTCTCCTACAAAGATGTAGACTCTAAAGAAATTGTTGTAGGTGAGTTGTTTTATCCTAGATTCCACTGACCTCTTATTCTCCTACAAAGATGTAGACTCTAAAGAAATTGTTGTAGGTGAGTTGTTTTGTCCTAGATTCCACTGACCTGTTGTTCTCCTACAAAGATGTAGACTCTAAAGAAATTGTTGTAGGTGAGTTGTTTTATCCTAGATTCCACTGACCTGTTATTCTCCTACAAAGATGTAGACTCTAAAGAAATTGTTGTAGGTGAGTTGTTTTATCCTAGATTCCACTAACCTGTTATTCTCCTACAAAGATGTAGACTCTAAAGAAATTGTTGTAGGTGAATTGTTTTATCCTAGATTCCACTGACCTGTTATTCTCCTACAAAGATGTAGACTCTAAAGAAATTGTTGTAGGTGAGTTGTTTTATCCTAGATTCTACTGACCTCTTATTCTTCTACAAAGATGTAGACTCTAAAGAAATTGTTGTAGGTGAGTTGTTTTATCCTAGGTTAGTTTTATCTCTTGAGGAGTTCGTGTAGGTAAGTGTGGATTATAGAATTTGTTGTTGCACGGTGTGGATCATAGAAGTGGTTGAAGTAGTGTGTGGATTATAGAATTTGTTCTAGCAGTATGTGGATTAAAGAAGTTGTTGTTGGCGAGTGTGTATTATAGAAGTTTGTGTAAGTATATGATGACACTAAACAGTTGTTGTAGGTAAGTATGGATCATAACAAAGATGTAGTAATTTGTGGATTAAAGAAGTTATTGTATGTAAGTGTGAATTATAAGTTATTGTAGATACGTATGGATTATAGAAGTTGTTGTAAGTAAGTGTTGACCCTAAAGAAGTTGAAAGTTAATGTAACCTTAAAGAAATTGATGGTGGGAAGTGTGGATTATAGAAGTTGTCGTGGGTAAGTGTGGATTATAGAAGTTGTCTTAAGTAAGTGAGGATTATAGAAGTTATCGTAGGTAAGTGTGGATTATAGAAGTTGTCGTAGGTACGTGTGGATTATAGAAGTTGTCGTAGGTACGTGTGGATTTTAGAAGTTGTCGTAGGTACGTGTGGATTATAGAAGTTGTCGTAGGTACGTGTGGATTTTAGAAGTTGTCGTAGTTAAGTGTGGATTATAGAAGTTGTCGTAGGTACGTGTGGATTTTAGAAGTTGTCGTAGGTAAGTGTGGATTATAGAAGTCGTAGGTAAGTGTAGATTAGAGAAGTTGTTGAAGGTAAGTGTGGATTATAGAAGTTGTTGTAGGTAAGTGTGTATTATAGAAGTTGTCGTAAGTAAGTGTAGATTATAGAAGTTATTGTAGTTAAGTGTGGATTGTAAGTGTGGATTATAGAAGTAGTCGTAGGTAAGTATGGATTATAGAAGTTGTTATAGGTAAGTGTAGATTATAGAAGTTGTTGTAGGTAAATGTGGACTATAGAAGTTGTTGCAGGTACATGTAAGTGTAAGAAAAGTTGGAATCTCAATGATTTACATTCTTTAAGAATATGAAATCTTGTTTTCCCTTGCTCCAGAACTTTAATTCTAGCTGTTATTTGAATAGTAACAATATGTTTAACAGCTATGTGTACAATAAACTAGGACCAGGGCTCCATATTCATTATATTGCAGATAGTTTAAATTTTGATCATAGTGTTAAGGTATGTAATTCCACAAAGAACAGAGAAACTTCAAGCTCCCTTGTAATTCATATTGAACTCGTTTGATTGTGTTTTGTCGTTTCTTGCCAGTATTTTATACTTTTTGTGTTTTGTTTGTGTTTTGTCGTTTTTTGTCAGTATTTTATACTTTATACGCCTTATCTATCGATACTACATTATGTTATATTCAAATTTACAGATAACACCTTTAGTGAACCCATAATTTTACTCTTATCAACATGGCATCAGATTTTACTGTATGACATACCCATACAGGATACCATTCCTTTACACACCGGATTAGGACAAGGAGCATTCATAGATTTTTATTATCAAGAAAAGCTAATATTTTGGGCAGAGGAGGGCGACGGCAGAATACACAGAGCTTCACTAACTTTAGACGGTAAGATTTATGCTGTCAACGTCCGTTAACCATTTAAAATATGTCCTTGGATCATACCAAGTCTCAGTTATCGTCATCACGGTGTCAAGTTGTATCGTGAATGCTAGACTGGTTCTCTCCCTTGTAACATACGAACACTGTGCGGGACAAATTTGCCATTCCAGAATTGGCAAATCTGACTTTGTCGGTTTACAAGATAACACAAATATTACTGGCCAAGTGATAGATAATAAAAAAAAAAAATTTCCCCATATGTCCCAACATGTCACTGTTGTCACCACAGCTGATTAAAAGTACATTTCCCATGGGAAATTTAAAAATTCCCATGGGAACATTAGAAGTTCCCATGGGAAAATTTTAAGTTCCCATCGGAAAAAGTACTTTTCCCATGGGAATTTTAAAGTTCCCATCGGTACTACAGTTTCCCATGGGAACATTAGTAGATAGCTTCTTCCCGTGGAAAATTCTAAAATTCCCCAAGGGAACTAATTTTTCTTCCCATGGGAACACATTTTTCCCTTGGGAACATTTATTCTTCCCATGGGAACATTAATTCTTCCCATGGGGAAGATATATTTTTCCAAGGGAACATCAATTTTTCCTTTATTATTTTTTTCGGGATTTGTAATAGAGCTATGAAATATCGCTATGGACTGACGGTTACTTATAACCATGTCTGGAGCAGTTTAACAAAAATATCATTTGACAAAAAATTATATGTAATTACAATAAATTAAAGGTATTTCTATCATACTTTTCCATTCAAAAGTCTTTAATTATAATTGAATGATTAATAGAAACTCTACTGTCCAGCGGCTGATTTTACAATTTGAATCTCTCATCTTTGTTTTCGATCAATAGCATCGTGCATTTCATGTAATATTGTTCGCTGAAGTGCCAAGGATCAGAGCCATGCATGTGTTTTTCAGAATTTAATGTAAGAATTAAAATTATAAATCTGTTTTAATCTATATAGCTGGGAAATCACAAATCGTGTTTAAGATTGTTTTATAGTTATTATCCTTGAATTTATGAAATTGGCATCATAATTATTATTAATATACTTATTCTTTTTCATCTATATGCGTGTTTTTCGCCACTAGAAAGATGTGCACTGAATTTTTTTTTTACAGTTTATTTCATTCATTCGGTCAAATTTCCTACTTCAATGTGTAACTCGTCTGCAAAATAATCTTTTATTTCGTTTCAATTTTTGCAAACACTTTTGAAAGTTTTGTTAGATTTGTCTTTTATGATCTCTCATGTCACTATCAAAGAGAATCCAGAGTTTTCCATTTACAAGGACGGGTCAGGATTAAGTACTTTATGGTATTATATACACTTGTATATTACCCGTACGGTAGGCTGTCTACAAGTAATTTATAGTGTAAAGGAATACGAATACATTATTTCTCATATAACTTCAATTACTAGTTATAGAGAACATACATACACATAACTATAAGATACAATCATTACATGCATGTGTGATCGATACAATTAAATTAATTTGGAGGACTGACTTTCACATAACTTTGACAAATTTACATAGTTTATCTAATATTACAATACGTGGTGAGTTAAACAGTTGACCAAATTCATAGATATTAGGATTTGTCCAACAGTAGTACGGTAAAAATGTCTTTCTTTCTAGTTTAAATGTTCCACAATTCATAATGTAATGGTACTCGTCACCAATGTCGTTTGATTCACAGAGACGGCATATTCTGCCTTCTTTCTGTTAACCCTGCCTCCTTATGAATTATTTTTGCGATTGCATACAGGTAAAAGAACTATTTGATTTTTTAATCTAAGATAATTGCTGATGATTTTTTGTGCGAATAGTGAACCATTCGAATAGTCGAAATTTTTTTTTCTTCCTCAATAGGTAGGTGAAATGGTGTGTAAAATTTATTCTTAATTTGCAAAACTTGCATTACGGGCATATTCTATACTTCTAAGTTTGGATATAGAGTTTGAATAAAGAGTCTAAAATTTTCAAATGTTGATACCCAACCAAATCTCTAGTAATCTTATCCATGTTTGATATATGCTTCTTTCAAGTGCGGTTGATTTGGTATTAGTTTAAGGTAGGCGTGGTTTTCGGTAAATTTCATCCAATCAGAGACATATATATGTTACAGTGAATTTGTATAATGAGGGATTATGTAGAATCCCTGATTTTTCAGGGATTATGTAGAATCACTTAAATCATTAGTGATTATATATAATTCCTTAAAATGACCAGTGACTTTACATAATCACTTAAGATTTTTATAATTATTCTACAAATTCCTTGAAATGATTTTAGGGATTATCAATAATTCAAAGATCCTTGGTTTGATAAAAAATAAATATAGACTTATCATTATTTGTTTTTACTTATTCCTTGAAAGTTTAAATGAACAGTAAGTCACGATTTAAATTGTTTAAATGCTCCTTCCATCTCTTATATTTCATACAGATTACACTATTACATCATTATACATTAACATAAGATGGGGGCTGGTGGGCATGGATCTAGGAAAATAATAAATCTTAAATACTTAGTATCTGACGAAAAAATATTTTTGTGAATAGCAAACTTAAAGTCATAAAAACTAGATATACAGAAATAAAAGTATAATTTTATAATAATTTATGCATATTTCTAGGATTAGCGTCTCATTAGTATACTTTTGTGCTGATCCGGTTTGGTGTTGTTGTTTAACCTTACGTTAGCACAGAACAAGTACTAAATCCACAGTGCATGTAATTTGTGTTAAAACAATGGGTAAAAAGGTTATGGAACATCTGTTTTGTGTATATTGTGTTCAAATGCACAAGAAATTCAAACTGAGAGAACTGAAGCAACTAGATGTATAGAAAAACAGGCAGAACGAACGATCGGCAGTATCTATTATGCTTTTAGTATATTTTTACATTAAGTAGAATTAGGTGCGTGACACAGGCTCTTGAGAGCCTCTAGTTTTGGTACCTCAGATGTTTGTACTGAGAACTTTATTTCTCTTAGACGTGTAGAAAAATCTGATTCGATATGTGAAGGACAAGGTTTTTTAAAATGTGGATGTTGTGGTTAAAACAGATGTGATTCAAATAGATGTGCCTGTAGAAAAGCAGTGCAAATGTGCAATAGTCGATGTCATGCAAACTGTAAAAATAGATGATTGTTTTTGACATATTAATTTTTGTTCTTAACATTTTAATAGCAATTCTCTGTAACCACCAACCAAGTTGCGGCACGCATAGTCTCAGATTTTCTTGAAATTTGGTTTGTTGGTAGCTATCGATAAACGAACAAGAAATATGTTGACAAAAAATTTGTTTATGCCCCCGTTGCCTTGGTAATGGGTCCCTTTAGATTTTACCTCAAAAATGCATATTTTGACGAACAAAAATGACCCATTTTAAGCAGTAATCATGCACACATTTCAAGTTTTATGAATATTTTGGCTTTTGTTCATTAAAATATAACACTTTATGAGTAAGATAAGAGATAAAATTTATTTCTGACAAAAGGGGAAGAAGGGGGCAGCACTGATTTAAATAGTGGAGTTTTCAATGTATTCAAGAAGGCAAATTATAGGCATTTTGCATGAGCTAATTTTACACTTTTGCATCCACAACCAATTATACTAAGATAATAAATGTAACTATATAGTGATATTGGGTTTTAGGGTGGTTGCTATGGAAACAAAAATGTGTCATTGTAAATGAATATTTTGTCTATGCATAACTTCTTTGCTCGAAAGGCCAATCCCAACCAAAGAAATAAACTCGTCGATCTCTTAGCAGTTATATTCCTTTTCTCTTCTTCTTGTAGATTCAAAGGACCTGTCTACATACAAAAATAACATTTGGTTGTCTTATGGAGAGTTGTCTCATCGGACGACATCTTTTAAATTTTTGTATTTGAATGTGTAATCAGTCTCATGAAATTGAATTTGCTATATAATTTACTATTCTGGATTAGACATGTGTTCTTAAAGAAAACTGCATGTTTATTTTTGTCCCAATGAAACCTAAAATATATTGTTGCTGCGCATTTTTTCTAGATAAAAAAAATGGTGCTATGCACTTTTTATACGACCGCAAAAAAATTTTTGTGGTCGTATATTGGTATAACGTTGGCGTCGTCGTCGTCGTCGTCGTCCGGCGTCGTCGTCCGAAGACGCACTAGTTTTCGCACTCTAACTTTAGTTTAAGTGAATGGATCTCTATGAAATTTTACCATAAGGTTCAATACCACAAAAGGAAGGTGGGGATTGATTTTGGGGGTTATGGTACCAACAGTTAAGGAATTAGGGGCCAAAAAGGGGCCAAAAATAAGCATTTTCTAGTTTCCAGACAATAACTGTGGAACGGTGTATGGATCTCTCTGAAATTATACTACAAGTTTCCATACCACAAAGGGATGGTTAGGATTTGCTTTGGGGGGTTATGGCTCAAACCGTTTAAGAATTAGGAGAAAAAAAGGGGGGAAAACAAGGTTGTCCTGGTTAATGGACAAATACTTTAGTACAAAACATAATTTAAAGCAGTGTAAGGGAGATAAATCAAATACATCATTGAAATTATCTCCCTTACACTGCTTTTAAATTGTGTATAAAGTAATGGTTAATGAACAATTAAGATAATTTAAAACAGTGTAAGGGAGGTAATCCAAATACAACGTTTTGGTTACTTCCCTTGCACTGCTTTTAAATTATGTTTAAAGAAATGCATATTTATAAAGGAAGACCAGTAAAAATATCTGCAAATGTTGCATCTTTTTTTTTTACAACAAAATCCATATGAAATATTTGACACCATATTTTAAATTCTATTATAAAATAGATTAAGTTAGCACTATGGTAAATTTAAATGGGTAATTATGGTTGCAAACTCCATTGGAAATTTGAATTGAGATTATGACCATATCTTGAGGGAAAGAATTTTTTTTGGGGAAAAAGGGGGGGGGGGGGGGGGTTTAAAGAAATTGTGGGGGGTCAATTTTTTCT